TGTCATTAAAGTAATGAAAGGGGTGCATTAGATCATTTGCGGAACAAGAATTATTTGATTTTAGCTATCCAATGGAATACACAATCATATTTTCCCCTATCAGATGCACTAATAACACAGTCTTAGCATAAATCAAAATTGACCACCTATGATAAAATTTGTAACTAGCTAAATCAGAGTTACATGTACATGTATTTAAATCGTATTTCATTCAACGAGATAAAACTTATTCTCTTCAATAACGGTTTGTTTTCTTTATAAACAAGTCTAATCTCAAACATCTTTTCTTGAAGATTCAAATTGCTAATAAACCAATAATAAATGAAACAATATCAAACCTTGGTTTTCTAGCTGGACTACTCAGTCAGTACATATTTGTAGGTGACAAAATGCACGTCTATTTCTGGAATATATCGTAAAATCGATTTCTGTCACCTTTGGGGTTAGAAAGTGGTATTTTATTATTGAGACATGACCACAAAACTATAAACTAAAAATACGTGAATGATGATGCACAGTGTATTTAACAAGCATTTCCTTACAAGCACGCAAATGAGAATGAAAGATCTAAAATCACTAGAGAAGTCGATATAAATTTTATATCAGGCCATGATCACGTTTTATTGTTTGTTAAGTTAGCAGCATATAAATTTTTTCATTAAAAAATCTATTTTTATATATTATTGATTTTTATATGCAAACAGCATTTGTTTAATTATCATTAAAGTAATATGAAAAGGGTGCATGTTTATGATCATTTGAACATAAATCAAAGAAAATTATTTGATTTTCAGAATATGAAATTGTTAATACATTTAACTTCAAATTTTTCCCTTATTCAGAATTTTAAAAATGCACTAATTCAAACTTTACATTCTTGAAAACAGGTATATATCAAAATTGACCATGACCTATGATAAAATTTGTAACTAGCTAAATCAGAGTTACATGTACATGTATTTAAATCGTATTTCATTCAGCGAGTATAAAAAGTTTTCTCTTCAATAATATTTGTTTTCTTAGGGCAAGTCTAATCTCAAACAGTTTTGTAAAATGTGCTTTATAGATTCAAATTGCTAATAAACCAATAATAAATGAAACAATATCAAACCTTGGTTTTCTAGCTGGACTACTCAGTCAGTACATATTTGTAGGTGACAAAATGCACGTCTATTTCTGGAATATATGTAAAATCGAATTTCTTTGTGCTTTCTATATTAATACCTTTGGGGTTAGTTTAAGAGTTGGTAAAATGTTTTATAAATAATAATTAATTTCATTACAACATGTATTGGTAACAATGCTTTATAAATAATAAAAATACGTGAATGATGATGCACAGTGTATTTAACAAGCATTTCCTTACAAGCACGCAAATGAGAATGAAAGATCTAAAATCACTAGAGAAGTCGATATAAATTTTATATCTGTTAAGGCCATGATCACGTTTTTTTGTTTGTTAAGTCGTTCCAAGATTATTATTAAACTGAATTTTTTCATTAAAAAATTATTTTTATATATTATTATTTTTATATGCAAACAGAGCATTTGTTTAATTATCACTATGAAATCTAATATGCCACATAAACCAATCTTGCTAAATGTAAACGTAACGAACATAAATCAAGAGAAAATGTCCATGAAGTGTGAGCACGATTTTCATGAATATGAAATTGTTATGCTTCATTTAACTTCAAATTTTTCAGTCCTTATTGACAGTTGAATTTTAAAAATGGTTCTATATTCAAACTTTACATTCTTGAAAAGCTAGGTATATATCATTTTGTGACTGAACATTAGCAATCTTGTGTATATGAGTGAGATGGGGAGCTTTCTTTACTTTTCGGTCGTATTTCTGTTTTTTTACATTTGATTTTCTTTCCACTCTGTAGAGATGTAAGAAATGTAAAGGGCAATAAAGTAGCTTTATAGAAATTGGCTCCTCTGCTATTTACATATATATACATGTACATGCATATCTGTTTATGTACTATTTATTTATTTTATTTGTTTATTTATTTATTTATTTATTTAATTTTTACATTTTATGTAGAGCTTTGAAGATGGGAAACCTAGCTTACCTCGTGTTCGCTCTTCTGCTAGTGGTCATCCTGAGCTTGTCGGCGGAAGCCTTTCCATACTTCGATGATTTTGAGTACCCCAGATTCTTCCGCCCCTCCCGCTCATTCTATCCATTCTTCGGTGGATTCGGTGATGACTTCTTCGATGACGATTGATCATGGTAAAATTTTCTCTAATCATATTTTGTATAACAATGCAATCATTTCTATTGTGGATAATCTCCCATTCTAGAAATTTGAAGCAATCATGATTCGTATTTAAAGCATGCATGAAATATATGGGGATAACGAACAGTATTCAAGATCAAAAGTCCATAAAACAATACAAAATAGGAGCAGAGCAAACACGGAACTCCAAAACATCGGAGGTGGGATCAGGTGCCATATTTTGATTGTACACACAAATATGTTGAGGTTGATATAAAAAGATGTTTGAGTTTCTAATTGACAATCTCTATGTGATTTTTTATTGAGATCAGGTCTTCCACAATTAATCTAATGGAATTCCCATGGGTAGCAATTGCGCCCTGTTATTAGCAAAACTAACTTTTCCGTATGAAGCAGAATTTGTTCAAAATCTTATACGTGAAAAAAGAAGAAAACACTTGTTGTGGTCTTCCGCAGAATATTTAGAAACTGGTATATCAATGACGCTTTGTCAACTAACGATAGTAATTTCCACTCTTATGATGATATATCCCGGTGAACTTGAAATAAACAATACCATAGAGTCCGAAACATGTTTCATATTTTGAATTTTTTTTTTCAAAAAAAAAGACGTTAATGATAATCTAGCAACAATGGTAAATTATAAAGGTGATGTCAAATGTTGACTGACGTTTTCACACATATTGTTAGGCCATTATTTGAATACAGAATTGTCGAAAGATTGTTCCGTTAATTCCCGATCTTTACAAGGAGCACACGGCGGGTGTAACCGGTTGCATGGTACGGGATGCTTACTCCTCCTTGGCACTTGATTCCATCTCTGATGTCTTAGAGGTCCGTTTTGTTCTGCTTTCGTTTTTTATTGTTTAATGAACTACGAACTTGAATATTGTTCGTTACCATCATATATTTCAAGGTTACTTAAATGTAAAAATTAAGAGGTCTATAGTCATTACATGTATATTAATTTGCACTTTTCTTAATTTTATTTTCACAGAAAAAGGCCATCACATTTTTTTCTCTTCTTTTACAGTTAGAAATCAATTCATCTCAAGAAGCACCAACTCAAATACATATTGCACGGAGCATAAGGTCTCCAAAATCAAATAAATTTTGTTAATTTGCTTCTAATTTGTTGTATATTTTTTAATACACAGACAAATTGCAATGATCTTGTTCGGACATAGAGAGGACAACGATCAAAAGGGTCTGCATGTCCTAAAGATGTTTTCTACAGATAAACACAATCTTTACTACTAGTATGTCGTGGTATTCAAAGAAAGGAAAAAAAATAGGCATTGCAAAATGTGCATTTAATATTTCGAAAAAAAAAATCATTTCTGTTAAGATCTTCACCAAAGTGTCTGCGTAGATGTCAATTTGCTTTTTCTGTTATTCAATATTTGCTTTTTTGAAGTACGTGTCAGAAGTCTGTTTAAAGTATCCAATCCCTTGTGTAATAGATATTTCATGAATTATTTTTCGCATTTCACTAGGTTTCAGGGTTCAAAAGTATTTACAAACACAAGTGTTCCTTCTTTCAGTATTTATATTAGACAAGCATGCAGTAATGTCGTTGATATCCTTCAAAAATATGATTTTTTTACTGTTTATTTAACAAACACGAGAAAACATGTAGAGACCTAAACTTAAAGTTAAACAAATCTTGTTTTTTCGTTACTCAGAAGTCAGAAGCCTTAGTTTCTAAAATATTTTCTTTCTCGATCTATTATGTATTATAGAAATTTCCGTTAACATGTAATATTAACATAACTTATAATATTTTGTTAATTCTATTAAATGAGAAAAACTCTTCATTCATTTTTGGTTTAGCTTTTCTAGATGAATCGTACAATATCTAGTTCAATTTCTTTAAAAATTAATTTATCAGATGGACTGCATTTTTATCTCTATTATTAAAAGTAAATGAACTGGAATACATGTTCAAAAGGTATCCTGTGATGAAATAAAAATATTTTCATATCAATATCGACCACATTATACATACATAGTAAGGAGATATAGGGTTCAAATAAATCCACTCCAAGATATACTCCGTGTACATTGTACTCTGCACTCTGTTGGCTTTAGGAATATTATTAAGTATGTAACACAAATCGCAGCAACCAGACAAGGTTTTAAACGTTTTAAGATTCTTTTCTTTCGTTTATCTTCGTTACCTAATTTTGTGTCTGTTCTTACAATTTGATATTGTACAAGGGGGTAGGAATTTAATCCAACTATGAATACGCCCATTTCAAACTGTCAGATAGCACTTAAGACTGTTACTAATGATGTTTTCTGAAAGTTAGGCAAGAAGTATTTTAGCATTTTCTTTACATACAGTATTATTTTTTAAATGAATTGAAAATTGATATGATGATTAAGTGTTATAATAAATTGAAAAAGTAATATACCGAAATTCGTTCAAAAAATAAATCACTAAAATATCTTAATATAGAGATTTATCTGGGCGTTCATTAGTAGTAGAATTTTAATTTGTCAAATAAACTCATTCAATTCATAATTAATTTTCAATAAGATAAGCTTACGATTAGATGTCCTTAGAACAAAGAAACGAAAAAAAGAAGAGGTGCACATGGTGTATCGTTCCTTTTGGAAACGATTTGATTTAATTCAAACAGAAAATCCATATGTGTAAGGAATTTTATTTTGTTATCAACGATTGTCCCCGGATATCGGGGCAAACTTGGAGTGGATAGTCCACAACCTGCTATCTTTAAAAGTTCAGAAATGGGTCAGGAATCTTCGTAAGAGAATCAATACATATCGGCGAGAGGTTCTTCGATTTTAAAGGGAGTAAAGCAAATTAAAGATCACCGATCGACTCCGTTATGCAAGATTGGAGGCTTTCACTTAACTTTTAAAAGTTTGTCTTCGGCATAGGAGTGTATATTTATAAACCGAGAGATATTGGTAAATGTTCTTACCCTGAGAGAGGATTTTCTAGCAAAACATGTTTAAAAATAGATATTGGAGATAGACGTATGGTCTTCAAGGTGTGAATCAAGACACGTGCACAGGTAATTTGTAATCCAAAGAAAAAAACAATATTGAAGGAAAACGAATCAACTTGTGAAATAAAGAGAGAATACTGGTGGATAGGAGAATAAATCACATTGGACAGGTGAGTTTACCACTGCCTTATCTTTTAAACGTTTTCCAATTACACGAGAAATATCGGTTTACAAATTACATGGGGCCTGACAAGCTGTTTACAACATACTGAATAGTTGAACAATTTTGTGTTTAAGATTCTAAACAGATCTGCGCATATTTGATTCCTTGCCTCTACATTTTTTCTCATGTTCATATAATTATATAGATTAGTATATTACAATGATTGTAATTTTAAGGGGGACATGAATTTCAAAGATGACTTTAGTTTTTAACATTTTCATTTTTTTTTAAATTATTAAATAACTATCTTCAATGTTGCCACTTTGAACACTGTTTTGCAATCTTGAGAACGATTGCTAACTTCTCCTTTAGCAGATTCAGTGCATATCTATTAAATTGTTGCTCTCAGATGAAAATAAATTATACATTCATTTCACTAAATTCTAAATTAACAATTTTGAAAATGTAAATTGCTATATAAATTTAACACTACTTACATTTTAATTCAAAATAGAAGAAACAAGCTTAAAAGTGAAATGATGATATAAAAGAAAACGAATGGGATTTAATCGAAAGAGAATATTCTCCGATTCTTTAATAGCATGAAATTAACGTTCTGTCAACCCTGAATAAAACCAGACCAAATTAAAAATATGCATTTTCTTTTATTATATTGAACCCTCATTGATAACCGGAATCTATTTAACGTATTGAATTTTCAATAATACCGTCGGTTTCAATAGTGTTAAATAAATATTTCCTCTTGTCAACGAAGCTCGTCGTCTACATTTAAATTACAGTGCATATTCTAAAGTAGGCGTCTTCTTACTGAAAAGAAGACAAGTGTTACATACACGCCACTATTTGTTTGCTTCATTGTTCCTTAGTTGATTAAATTTTACATGTATAAGATAAGAAATTTTTTAATCATTAAGAATACACCAAAAATATCTACAGGGTGTTTCACAATATATGTCACACATCTAAATGGGCATAATCTGAATATTGAGCATGATAACAAAAATACCAAAACACTATAGGAAAGCAAATAGATCTAAAATTATGATATTGCAAAGTATTGGGGAAATTATAATATATCATGAAGTAACTGATGATATAATCAGTGACCTCATAATGTCAGCTTTTCTCAAAATGGAGTACAACTTGCAGCAAAAATTGGTTGTAAACTTTAATTATTAGAACGATATCCTGAATATTGTACAGGGTGTGATGATGAAAAATATTCAGACCACAAATTCTTGTCTAGTTTTCATATATTAAGAAAAATAAGAGAGTTTGAACTAAATTTTAATGTTAAGATGAAAGACAGCTACATTCTGCCCCCCCCCCCCCCCCCAAAAAAAAAGAGAAGAAATGAGAACAATATTAAAGTGAAGTCAATCATTGAGAAAACCTCATAAAAGTTAGATCTGAGTTTTTGAAAATGGATTGTAACAATGCCGGTTAGTGCATCAAGTGTATTTAGAAATCTTAAATTTGAGTTGTTTGTCTGCATACAAGATTTCAGCATGTAAAGTCCGTTGACTTTCAGAGCTCGTTCAAGTTTGCAAGACTGACTGAAAGGAAGAGCGAAATGGGCACCAGTTAACACATGCAGGTAGTTCTGAAATGACACATTTATTTATATGCAACTTTAATTAAAAATAGATAATTATGTATTTTGAGGGTTCTAAGAAGCCAGATATAAAACAAGAAAAGTCTCAAGTATCCTGTGAAACTTACAAAACAGTGGTCAGAAATTTCTATGCATTAGTCTCATAAGTTATTTAGGATATAATGTTGGGAAACACTTGGAAAATAACGTTTAAGGATATGTTGCCATAGTAACTGAAGTGGAAAATGTTGGATACTTCTAACCCAAAAAAATAATTTTGAATTTATGCTGATTAAAATGATATATAAAATGTATATTTAGCTTTAGTTGTCATTTATCTATCTGTCTTTAGATGTGTGACATATATTGTGAAACACCCTGTACATGTATAAATAGGTATGTAGTGAGAAAAATCAGCTTCACTTTTCGGTAAGGGGAGTTTTAAAAATAAAATTATGGGAAGGATTTTTAACACGTTTGAAAATATTGTAGGCAACAGATTTCTTAACAAGTCATATTAAAAAAAAAAATAAAACATGCATAAAAAGACAAAAATATCTTAATAATCTTTTTAAACAGAAGAAAAAGTCAAAATGGATTGATAATCTTTTCCCAGTAATATTTTAAATCTTATATATTTTATATAGATGATTGAAATATATATCATAAATTACCATGAATGTTGTTTTTAATTCAGTGTATGATAAAACATATAGATTTATCATGGCTCAAACCGCCTTTAAATAAATGCATTGAAATAATAAAAACATATGGTTTGGAATCTACATTAAAATCATTTCCTACGAGTTTACCTTTAACAAGTGACAGATACTTTGTCTGTCCAGTGAAACTCTATAACTTTCAAATGCTTTTTGTTTGAACAAGGAAAGAGTGGATTAAATGAAATTGATTTATTTTACGTCTGCTGTCAAACAATCGAATACCAGTATTAGAGAGTGGGCATCTATGCTCTATAAATAAGATTCAGGTCTTAACTGTTTTTAACAACCTAGAAAAAAATTCAAATTTATTCTTCCGAAGCATTATGACAACTCTCTAAGGAAAATGCAGATCTTAAGACTGTTGAATAACTGGAACAAAATTTAAAAAATAATTCAGTTAAAAAACTCTAATCAGTCATTCAGCAAAAAGTGATAAAATAATAATTTTATTTCTCTGTCGCTAGCAAATTTATCTTTAACATACACACATATAATTTCATATATTTTCTTGCCTTGGTCATTTGCTAAATTTTTTTTAAAAACATTCTGATTCTACACACAAGTACTCTGAAGTCGCCATAAAAAAGATGCTTGAGTTTGAGTGCTTGAGTTTCTGATTGACATTATCTATGTTGTTTTTAGAGACCAGGTCTTCGACCAATCTATTGGAATTCCAATGGGTATCAACTGCGCCCCGTTATTAGCAGACCTATTCTAAATCTTATGCATGAATATAAGAAAACACTTGCTGTAGCCTTCAACTCGACATTTAGATATATCAACGACGTTTTATCAATGAACAATGGTAATTTCCATTCTTATGTAGATACGATATATCCCGGTGAACTTGAACTAAAAGACAACAGAGTCTAACACATCTGCTTTATATCTAGATATTTTTCTTGAAAAAGACGTTAATGGTAAGCTAACAAACAAGCTCGATGATAAACGTGATGACTTTAACTTTTTCTATTAACTAATTATGCAGCAATATACTTTCATCACTTGCATACGGAGTTCATATATCTCAGTTGATTCGATACGTATATGCAAAGGCATGCTCTATGTATGAACAATTTCTAAAACAAGGTAAATTATTGATAAACAAGTTGATGAAACAAGAATATCACCAGTCTAGTTTAAAGTCGTCATTTCGTAAATTCTATGGTCGATTCAATGACCTTGTCAGCAGATGCAATTCATTATTGAGTCAAATGCTGACAGACGTTTTTCATACTAATTGTTAGTCCATTATTTAAACACTGAATTGACGACGGATTTTTCCGTTATATCCCGATTCCCGATCATGACAATGAGCATACGGCGGATGTGACCGGTCGGCAGGGGATGCTCACCCATCCATGGCACCTGATCCCACCTCTGATGTTTTGATGGTCCATGATGTTTTGCTCTGCTCCTATTTTGTATTCTTTTATGGACTTTTGATCTTGAATCTTGTTCGTTATCGCCATATGTTTCATAAACATGTTCAAATAATGACTACAGTTAAAGTTTTGACATATGAACATAAAAATAATTAGATTTCGCTATGAAATTTTCAGTTCCTTATCGTTCCGAGTTAATAAATATTAAAAAAAAATTAATTTCTCATATAAAAGGAAAATTCATATTCTCACAAAATATGCATGAAACTTGTATTATAATGAATCAAGTCATGCCGCAAAAATTATACCATATGATATAACTTTATCTTTTAAATTGTACATACCATGCAGAACTGAAAATGAAATGGAACTTACCTTAGGGTGAACTTGTAACATTTTGTTATCCATTCAAGTAACGTGACGTCAGATATTTAAGCCTGTTCATTTTCGATGTAACAAATGACAGACATTAAGGAATTGTCTTTCCTTAGACTTAATCTTCCAGAACTATGTGATGCTGGAAAGCAGTTTTAATATCTTGAAAACGAAATGCTGAATAGTTTTGGATAAAATTGTAAGATAAAACCGTTAAAAGTACGTTTTGTGTGAAAATAAACGTTTTCACTCCCCAAAAGTTAAATTTGATACAGGAAATCGTTTTTAAACACCGTTCTATACTTGTCATCCAAGTGTCGCAGTGGTTGGAAGGACTTTTTTCATGTTGTTACAAATTATTACTGTCAGGGACCACTTAAGGGTATACAATATAAACAAAACAGTTGTTCCAAATATTCAATTACTAGTATGCTATGCATCTTTTAGTTTCTATAGATGTGTTTCAGTTCACTTAGAAAAAGAAACGGATATGTCCCGAATTTTGATATCGTTATCATTTTCTAACAATTTTGATAAACTTGCTGTCATAAGACAGAGCTACATAACAAGATTCATGTAAAGATAAAGAGCAATGATAATACTCAAAGTCCAATTTATTAATTCAATTTGTAAGCACAGCAAACAATGATCTCTGAAACAGAGACAGGATTAGGTATTACAGAGAAGAGAGATTCCCTGCCGTCCAATTAGTCTCCAAGTTCTTCTTTTCATGATGAGGAAAACGACAAAAATCAAATGTCAATTCGGTAAACAAAATGATAGCCTTACAATACATATGAAAGACGTCAGTCTACAGTCGATTTTTAGCAATAAATTGTATTCACAAAACAAGCCATTGTTGAAAAATGTTGACTTTAAACGAGATTGTTGATATTCATGGATCAACAACTTATCTGTAAATGAAGGTTGCCTAGATCGTTTTAGAAATTATTCGTACGTAGAACAGTCTCTTACGTACTAAAAAATTGGAAAAACATGAACTCCATATACAGGTATATTTCTACATTAAAATAATACAGGAAACTGACCTTAGAACACGTTTATCATAAAATTTATTTGTTGCTTAGCTATCAGTCCCTTTTAATATTACAACATCGAGATATGAAACTGTTGCTTCAGACTCTATGATGTTCTTTATTTCAAAGATGCATAGCTAAAGACAGATATGTAAAATAATCAAAATTATTTCAAATAGTGATTTTCAAAACGACAAAACGAAATGTTTGCAACGAAATATTTTGAATCTTGTTCCTTTCTTTTATTAAACGCTTAATATTCAATCTCTAGGAAAAAAGGTTGCAAACATCAGAAATAAATTTTGAGGTCTTCAGTTCCATTTTGAGGGCTCCTCTTTGACGACATGTGTGGTCAAGGTCTCTCAAAAGTTTGAGTTAGAATCAAACTTTCATTTAGAAATATCATTTTATTCAAAACATGATATTGCCCTTTTACATGCGGCTGACACCAAAGAAAGTTTTGCATTATATTATTCTTTGTAAGTGACTATAAAACAAAGATCTAAGTGAGAAAGTTTTCATGTGTAACGAAGATATATAGAGCACCAGGCCAAAAAAGAAATAAAGAAAAACACAGTGTTGGGGTAAATTATCCATGTATATCTTATGAATCTGAAATTTGAGATCAGCTAGGCTTTGTTTTTTTATATTGGAAGGGCATATACTAAGTGTATTTAAACCTAAAAATAGCTTATATGATTTTGATAACAAAGACATAGTGCCAAAAGTCATTTATATGGTTATTATGCATAAACATTTCTATTTTGAAGGAAATAAAATATAAAGGTAAGTGACAAATACCTGCCAGCGACTAATTTATATAAAAAATACATTAATTAATTTAGAAATTTATATAAAAACAGTAATGTTATATATTATAAATGATCCAACACATGCACATTTTTCATGATACATATTAATGTTCACATTGTTAATTACTTGTATATGCGTTACTTGTACATCTCATTTAACGTCATCATTTCGTAAGTTCTATTGGTCGATACAATGACCTTGTCAGCAAATATAATTTATCATTGAGTCAAATGCTGACTGATGTTTTTCATACTGATTGTTAGTCCATTATTTATAAACTGAATTGACGACGGATTTTTCCGTTATTTCCCGATCATGACAAGGAGCACAAAGAGGGTGTGACCGGTCGGCAGGGGATGTTCACTCCTCCATTGGATCTGATCCCTCCTCTGATAATTTGGAGGTCCGTGTTTGTTCTGCTCCTGTTTTGTATTGTTTTATGGACTTTTGATCTCGAACACTGTTCGTTATCTCCATATGTTTCATTACAATTTCCTAACCGAGACAGGCTATTGACAGATAAGTTGAGGTTAAAGAGATCTTAACAGCCTCGTTTGAAGTCAGAATTTCCTACATTCTATGAAGGTTTAATTGACCAATATATCCTATCATTTGGCTGTTTTATAACAATTTGTATGCCTAATAGTTCGTATTATATTGAAATTACTTCTACCTATTCAACAGAGAGAGCGTACGGAGGGAGTAGTCAGTCGATAGGGGATACTTACTCCTCTTAGGCACCTGATACCATTTCTGGCTTGTAGATCTCAATTGGTCATAATGTTTGTAACATACTGTTATATGTCATATAGAATATACTTTTTCTTCCAAATGTTATCTGACATAACTATAGTCTATACGGAGTATATGTTTTTAAATTTGATATCGATTATTATACAGATTAAAGAATTGCACTTTTATTCTAATTTTAGGTATCCTTCATTACTTTGATAAGGCTTAGATGAGACAAAACAGTATGCGCGGCAGGATTTCTCTTCAGGAGAAATGTCCATTCCTTTACAACAGTTATTTACTAGATCATTAGCCACTCATGTTTCACAGACAACCTAAACGGGATAGCAACTCACCTGGCAAAAAGATGGTTCACAAACCTGTTCTGGATGGAAGATTCCGAGATCGACAAGACAGCTATATCGAAACTCGGCCACGTCTTCATTCTGATAACGAAGTCCCTGAAATTGAAACTTCTCATAACTTTCTTCTCCCGCTCACTAAACGTGACTTTTACACGAGAAAAGACACTGCCCGAAAGAACCTTCTAGGATACCTTTACACCCGACAACCTGTTCTTCATCGCAGCTATTCTTTCGTGGCTGGGGAGAAACCAGTCAACGAACCAGGTCTTCCTAAAATCGCATCTTTTTCTCGAGAAAAGTCCAATTTCAACCTAAGTAGTTCAAAGAACAGAAGCTATGAAATTACCCATCATGAACTGGGCGTTGGTCAATCATCCAAAGTCGGGAAAGTAAGAGAATTTTTGAAATCCGGAAGTTCTAGATCAATCTGTAGTGTGAAAAAGGATAACGCGAGTCCTCAAAGATCCCGGACTAATAGCAACAAAATGACATTGCCGGAAATTATTGAGGATCTAAATAACAACGAGAAATATGCAAATGACGTTTACTCAGAAGAAGAGTCGTTCGACAGACCTCGAGGTAGTGATCATGTGATAACTTTTGTGCCATCTAGGCTCATAGGGAACGAGCCAAAAGTCTATCCATCCAGACATAGACCCATTACGCCAAATTTATTGAAAAAACTAGATAAATTAAAGATTCCTAATCGAATACGAACCCAGGATTGGGTAAAGGTGTTACCATCAGACACTAGAGCATATATTGGAGAATCTCGAATTAATGCACAATATGTTCCAGAGGATATAGACGAATAGTAATGGCGGTCTGGATGCACTATTTGTTTTTATCAAGTTTTTTATTGACATTTTCATGATAAGATTTTTTATAAATTAAACCTTCAGCTCTTTGATGAAGAATTTCAAAAATTAACGAATCAATAACTGGCATAAATTCAAATTAATATTTATGACTTCCATCTATTGCTCTACAAAAAAACAGATTATAAAAATGGTAGATATTACATGCTTTTATGTTAGGATTATGCTTTCAGACATTTTATAACATACTTCCTTTACAGAATTGATAAAAAGGGGGTGATTGAAAAGTGTATCTAAAATTTACTATCTCTAAACTTGATCCTTATTTGTATTGTCATGTGTCGGAGAGAACTGTATTATAATTGTTTATGCATGGTTAAATATAATGAAACTGTTATTAGCAGACCTATTTTTGTACTTATATAAAGGAGAATTTGTCAAAATCTAATACGTGAAAAGAAGAAAACACTTCCTGTGGCCTTCCATTCGATCGACTTTTAGATATATCGACGAGGTATTGTCAATTAACAATTGTTATTTCCATTCTTATGTCGATACTATATATCCCGGAGAGCTTGATATAAAAGATACCACAGAGTCTGACATATATGCTTCCTATTTGGATATTTTACTCGAATAAGTAAACAACTTCCCTTACATATGCATCAATAGACCTTCATCATCTGCATATGGAGTTTATATCTCTCAGTTTATTCGATACGCAAGAGCATGCACTATGTATGACTGTACAATTTCTAAAAGCGAGGAAAATTATTGATAAACGAGTTGACATAACAAGAGTATCAGCAGTGTTGTTTAAAGTCACTATTTTGTTAAGTTCTATGGTTGCAAAGGACTTGTCAGCAAATACAATCTATCATTAAGTCGAAAAATAACTGACGTTTTTCATACTAATTGTTAGTCCATTATTTACAAACTGAATTGACGACGGATTTTTCCGTTATTTCCCGATCATGACAAGGAGCTCACAGCGGATCTTGAATACTGTTCGTTATCTCCATAATTCATTACTTTCAATCTTGATCAAAATTTACGGTATGATCTTTTGAAAAAACAAGACTTTGTAAATATATTTTTTTTATCCTCATCAGACTCTGTTGCTTGAATATACTCTATCTAATACTTATTACACATTATGCATGCAATATGCCACCTTGTTGAATCAAGAGGTGCTTATAAATTTCAATTTCAACACAAAAAATGGCTGTCCGTATTTCTGATATGAAAAACTTAATGATACGAAAAAAAAATCTTGCATTGACTTCCTGATGAATATTTAACGCATGAATTTCTCGGCTCATTTGTTTAAAATAGTGAATACTTAATGAATTAGCTGTCATGATATGGTTCCAGTATATATAGAATTTCTAGCCTGTTTCTGTATAAACTTTCATCCTGTTTGTTTGCTCAATATCGATTATGGAATTTGTTACAGATATCCGTAACATTGATCCTTTCCGCTCTATACTGTTTAGTACATGAATGTATCTTGATACGTATTCAACCTCGAGACATAACAGATATGTGAATAGGTTTAGAAATACAATGATGAGATAAAATCTGAATATAAAATTGTTGAAAATAATTACAGGATACAAATATACCGTTAAAGTTTTGAAATCTAAGGTTTGAATGAAAATTACACGTGTTTATTTTGGGTGTAAAAATGTTTGACTGAAAATTTCATTCCACCTGCTAAAATTGGGTGTACATCTGAAGTTTGGTGGCGCTCTTCAAATTGAATCCATTGATGACATTTTTTGTCAGCGCTTCGAACTATACTTAGTATTCTTACTGATCAGTTATGAAATATATGGATATAATGAACAGAATGGGAGCAGAGCAAACACGAAGCTCTAAAACATCAGATGTGGAATCAGGTCAGGTCCCATGATAATGGAGAAGTGAGCAGTCACATCTACTATGGGCTCTTTGTCATGATGGGGAAATAACGGTAAAAATCGTCGACAACTGAAATGTTTAAATAATGGCCTAACAATAAGTATAAAAAACATACGACATGCAGTCAGTATGCAACTTAATGACAGCTTATATTTGCTAACTATGTCATTGTATCGACCATAAAAATGACAATTTTTAACGAGACTATGGTTTTTCTTGTTTCATCAATTTGTAATATATGCATTTACTACACTTCATTTGGATCGAAGAGTCATAAACATAGAGAAACTGAAAATATGGAAAATTGAAAAAAAACAACAAATTTTTCAACCGATGATGCTTGCATGCAGGCTTCATGAAAGAAATACTGTAAATCACTTTTTATTCGCGAGAACTTTATTTTCGCGTAATAGTAATTCTCGCGTATAATAGTATTCATTAAGATTATATAGAGCAATAACCACAATTCGCGAAACTTTTGTCTCGCTAATCAGGAGTCAATGACTGTCTCGAGAAAATAAGGTGTCGCGAAAATTAAGTGATCTACAGTATTTTATTACATTTTTATTTCCTTCAAACATTAATCAATAAATAATCAATCGTTTTCTCAATAACTCTTAAATAAGAAAAACCATTTACGGACTATTAAGAATATTGTTTAAAAATGACTTTTAAATGAATTTAATTTGTTTAAACAAAATTTTTATGACGAAATAAATTCGTTATCACAAACTCGAAAATTTTTTTAATGTATATCGAATTAAATTCGTTTTGAAAAAATCGATAATTGATTATTTCGAATTTTAAAATATTTTTAAGTAGTCTTAAAGGGCTACCATAGTCAATGAAGAGGAACATAGCTGTTTTTATTTCTTATAGAGACCGTTGTACGTTTTCATTTCACAAACATTTCACCATTTTATTTAGCTTTTTCCTTTATAATTTGAATACACGTGCACTTATTTAGCATGATACATATGGAGATAACTAAAGGTATGCAACACCAAAAGTCATAAAATAATACAAAATAGGAGCATGCAGAGCAAACACGGACCTCCATCAGAAGTGGGATCAGGTGCCATGGACGAGTGTGCATCCCCTGCCGACCGTCACACTCACCGTGTGCTCCTGGTCATGATCGGGAAATAACGGAAAAATCCGTCAATTCAGTGTATAAATAATGGACTTACAATTAGTATGAAAAACGTCATTCAGCATTTGACTCAATGATAGATTGTATTTGCTGACAACTCAGTATATAAATAATGGACTAACAATTAGTATGAAAAACGTCTGTCAGCATTTGTCTAAATGATAAATTGTATTTGCTGACAAGGTCATTGCATTGACCATAGAACTTTCGAAATTATGACTTTAAACGAGACTGCTGATATTCTTGTTTGTCAATCATTTACCTCATTTTAGAATTGTTCATAGTACGAAGAGCATGCTCTTGCGCATCGAATCACCTGAGATATATAAACTCCGTATGCAGGTGATGGAGGTACGTTTTACTGGTTGCGAAAACCAAAGAAATTTATTTTTTCTGTACCATTCTTAAGTTTTCTTACTAGGTTGTGTTTCAGCATTTGATTCAAGGTTCGTTGAAATTTCTGCTATTGTTAACAAAATAAAGTAAGAATATCTGCCAGTTAATTTTTGATCCACTGTTGTTAAAACATATTCGAATAATATTTTTGCAAAATTACAAAATGCCACTCATCTCATCTTGTAAAAATGATAAAAGGAATAGTTTAATTCAGAAAATTACCAAAATTGATGTATAAGAGATATAAAAATATCATATTTTATAATCATGTAAAGAACTGGATTCAGTAACAATAAATATAAACTAGAGATACTGTGTACACTGAGCTCACTAAATGATGCCCCCACCTCCTGTATGAATATAATGGCAAAGTCCATGTTTTGCTCTGGGAGACCCGAAATAAGTGTCAGATAAAAACGTAAAAAATGAAGTGCACATTGGCATTCTGTAATCAAGAACCTGTAAAAGTATTATTAAATTTTATTTAATGATATAGGAAGAGTTGTGGATAAGAGATGGGTACCCTTCAATATAATAGAAAGAATGTCAGTGTCGATTTTTGCTACGGTTAACCTACAATATGTGTCCAATCAAAAAGTAAAATAGGAGAAGAACAATGGCACTATGTAATAAAGATTTTGTGAAAGTCTCATTAAACTTTATTCAGTGTTTTGATAGGAGTTGTGGATTATAGAAATGGGTACCCCCAAAGCGTAACAGACGGACGGACAAATAGACAGATGAACGTAAAGACGGGCAGACGAACATTTCGATCACTATATACCCTCCCACTTTTCAAGCGGGGGTGGGGGTATAATGATATGCATGAAGAACAATAGTAGACCGCCTATCGGCACGATAACGTCCAACAAATTAGGTTACTATTGATAATCTGTATCTCCTGATTGAAAATACATGAATCGGTCGATCTCTATACCCCAACAGCAACCGGCTTAGATCATAGAAATAATATCCGTGCAGAAAAACAAAATAAAGTAATAATATATCTTCATAATAGAAAATACTAGTATCTGTGAAGTGTTATATAGAGCACTCAGCAAAAAAATATTTTATCACATGGTATACCCGGCACTGGGTGGATAAGCTGGATTGATGCCGCCGCCAACAGTCTGGGGATATTGCGGGGGAGGATATTGTGAGTATCCCTGGGGCTGTTGATACATTGGAGGAGGTGGGGCATGACTGTAGCCCGGGGGTGGTGGAGGGTAAGCCGGCACTGGTGGGCCTGTGTACTGGTTTTGTGTGTTGGAGTGCACTGAGGAAAACAAAAAATATTAATTTTTAAATTGCAGAACAGTCCAAGATTAGAAAGAAATTCATATTTCAGATAAACTTGCATGTTTATCTATCAATGAAATTTTTAAGTGAAATTCATATTTCAGCAATTGTAAGCAACAGTTTTGACACCTTGTATTATCTTATTACAATGTATTAAGACACATATAATAATTTCCATTTTATCCGTTGTGACACAGGTAATGTCAAGATTACTTATCTTGATTAAGCTTATCTTGTAGTTTATAGCTTAATATATATATATATATATATAGTTGTAACATATGTGGTAATTTTGAGCAACTCTGAAAAGTTAGAACTTATTGTAGCACCTGTCGTTATTGGGAGCTTACCGATTGTGACACCTGTGGTATTGAGCTTACCGGTTGTGACACCTGTGGTTACTGTGAGCTTACCGATTGTGACACCTGTGTTATTGGGCTTACCTATTGTGACACCTGTGTTATTGAGCTTACCGATTGTGACACCTGTCGTCATTGTGAGCTTACCGATTGTGACACCTGTGGTATTATTATGAAACGGCGCAATAATGGCTCCTCTGGATCTTTTCTTCTTCATGACGACACACACCACGACCGCCGCAATCACCGCTAAACACACCAGGGCCCCCACCACAGCCCCAGCTATCGTGCCACCACTGTAAGGTCAAGGTGAATAATATACTGTATAAAGCTAGGGATAGGAGCAAGTGAAAAAAATACAAAATACATAGAGAAAAGAGGTGCAAATATACTTCAAAGTTAAGACGTTAAAATTATATTAAGATTCCTATATTGTAAATCTCTTTAACTGCTGTAATTATAAAGTACTTTAATTAGCACTTTGATATCACGCGTCTTGCTCTATGTAGCACCGCTAGCCGTTATGTTTAGATCTCTACAACTGTTACAGTATATAGTGATCTTCAGCATTTTGATGCAACAGTTATTGGCCTGATTCTTAAGCACCACTAGCGGTTATATTTAGATCTTTATAATCGAATATAGCGCTCTTTAGCCGATTGATGTAGCAGTTACTCGCCTAATTCTATGGCAATACTAACGTATATCTTAAGATTTCTAAAGGTTTTATAGAGTACTTTTAACAGTATTATATTACCAGCCTGGTTATAATTTTAACAACTCTAGCGGATATATTTAGATTTCTATAGCTACTTGTATTATTATAGAGTACTTAACAGAATGTTACTCACCTAATTCTATAGCAACCCTATCGATTATTCAGATCTTTATGTCTATTTTACAGAGTACATTAGCAGTATGATGAAACACAGCTGGTTTTATCGCAACACAAGCAGTTATATAAAGATCTCTATTGCTATTTGTAAACAACACTATCAGTTATATTTAGATTTCTATAGCTATTATTATAGAGTATACGTTAGCAGTATGATGTTACTCGCCTGGTTCTATAGCAACACTAGCGTTTATATAAAGATCTCTATTGTTATTTTTACACTTATTAAGTAGTATAATGTTACTCGCCTGGTTCTATAGCAGCAGTATCGATTATAATAAGTTCCACAGCAGGAGGAGTAGCAGTATTTTCTACCATAAGTAGAATAAGAGTAGTAGTATTTCTTAAAATAGCATGTCTCACCGGCCAGCACATCTAGTAGAAGAGATTAGAAATCATTGCTTTAATTCATAATGCTTAAAACCTTTTATCACCAATACTGTTCAAACGATCTGAAAACTTAAAACGGATTTGTTAGTGGTTGATTGATAAATTGTTCAAGTGTTGCTTTATACGTCCGAAACGAACATCTTTCACTCATGTAGAGACGTCATCTTAGTGACTTTTCAGTGGTCCTTCAGTCACTGAATGGATGGTGTATGGAACGCCATCACTGCCTTATAGCATACAACTATGCATTTATTACGTCAATTTATCATTACGTGATGTGAACATATCTTTACGTTATGTCCATTTTTTATGAGATGATGTAAATATATCTTAACATCATGTCAATTTTTTCATTATGTCAGCACTTCATAACTTGAAGTAAAAAATTCATTATGTGAAGTGATAATTTGTTTACATTGTTTTAAAACTTTATTACGTGGAATGAATGTTTCTTTGCATCATTTCATTTCCTTAATATGAGAGTCAAAATTGCATTACGTCAAGTAAATTGTGTTTTATTGTTAAAGTGGTTCATCACATGATCAAAAGCCCATTGTTGTGTATATTTCTATTATATCAAAGTATTATTCACGTGATATGGATTTATCTTCATATTCGAGTGACATTTTCAGGTGAACACATACCTTTAGTGCTTTATTACTGTAAAAAGTGGTAACATAATGTGAACATATCCTATTCAGTTACCACTTTAGACATTATTCTGCGGTCACATTTCATTGGATATATTATAAACTTATGCCGTCACTCTTTCTTATGTGATTTAAAAATTCATTGATATATATATATATATATATATATATATATATATTTTTGCAAATTCGATAAAATTATTCGCATCTTTGTGTTTAATATAACATAATTTTTAGATGAATTTTAAACTTCATCGAGGTAAAGTTATGTTTAAAAAATTACAGGCACATAATATCAACCCCCGTCGCCAGACATAAACAGAAAATGTAATGTTCAATGAAATTACAGCCCCCCCCCCCGAAAGTTCTTGTAAATAACATAGAATATAAAAAATATATACGTGGAAAAAAAGAGATTTACCGGTATACACGGCCATGCCCCTGGAAACAACAAGTGAACTAGGGATAGACATTTTTTGATTGGCTTGTTTAGTTTTTTGTAAATGATTTTTTTTTACTGGCTGACCTCCTCTTTCAAAAAAATGAATTTAATATCACTATAATGATGAAATCGTGAAATAAAATCTTTGTTAAGAATATGTCAATTATTTGATAAACTGATAAACTAGTTAGTGAAAGTTAGTAAAAACGCCACTGAAATGTATTTATAAATGTATTTCCCACTGAATGGTAATGGAACGATCACAGGAAAGGAACTCTTCAGTGCTTTATAGACCAAAAAGTTTTCAACTTAATTCAGCTAAACTTAATGTGAAACTAATTTTATCCTGTTTAGACTTTTATAATAAAAGAAAAAAATATTCAAAATAAAAGTCATGTGAATAATATTTGATTTATTCAATTATCAGATTAAAAAAATGATTTTTTTTTACATTTACTTTAATTCACAGTCAGTGTTAAGGCTTTGCATGTTTCAAGACAATCATTTGTTTAAAGTTTTCATTTATACAATCCATTACGACAGTTTTCTCTCTCGCCATTTTAGTGCTTGCGGAAGGAAAATACGTTATGCTCATATAAAGGCCAGGAGACAGCTTCTTCATAACGTAATAGTGAATCGACATAATGTAGAAGAGTTTTCACATATTGTGAGTGGTCATCAACAAAATAACTTTGTTAAAATAACTCACTCTGATTCGTAAGTTCCATGCAGGTAATATTGAAAGGTTGCTTAAATTCCTCATTTACAACATTTATGTAGTGTGGGTTAATGTCATAAAGAGTTGACAAACTGTAAGGGAAGGTTGGCACTAATTGCAATAGTAGGGTGGGTAACATTCAAAAACCTCTTCATGAGAAGAATTGAACAGTTGAAGTTACAGGGATTTTACAACCCCGTTAAAAGTTATCATACTAAACTCTATGGCCAGTCTAATAATCTTATTAGAAAATATAACCTATCACTGGGTCGTAATTTGGCTTACTTGTTTCATACCAATTGTTAAGCCTTTGTCTTTATACTAATGTTGACTAAGGAATGATCCATCTACCTGACCAATACATAGGAAGCACATTGGTTGTGACCAGTCAACAGGGGATGCTTACTCCTCCTAGGCACCTCATCCGATCTCTGGAATTTCTGTGGTTCTTGTAAATGCGTTGTTCACAGAATGTTATTGTATATAGTTTTTATGAGATCAATTTCCATTCGTTATCTACACCTGTTCCATTGAGAATTAGCTAAAACAAGGCATTTGACTTATACAAGTATGTTGATTCAGTTCTATTTTTCATGCTACAAATACAGCTAAAAATGTATCAAATTTGTATTTAAAAACACATTGAAATATTTTTCTTTAATCATTAAAGAATCCAAGATTATGGGATGATAATGCAACACAAATCTAATCATTAAAAAATGATTAACGTAATAATACAAAATGAACGAATATTTAACCATTCCGGGCAAGAGTGTACCTGACTGTTTACAATATAAAACGAAACGTATACGTGGCATGTAAGAAGCAAAACAAATTGCACCTTGCAAGTGATCTAGTAGAACATTTTTGTTTGCTTGCTTTTTTACTGCAGCTACAAAATTTTCCACTTAAATACAAGAAGACAGTAAAAGTTCAAAGGCCAAGATTAACGGCGAAAAATCCAAGATAAAAGTTGGAAAAGTTGGAATTATCAACTTTAAACTTGAAATTATCAATTTTAAACTTGAAAAGGCGAAGATTAAAGTTGAAGAATCAAACATTAAAGTTAGAATAACTAACGTCTTATAGTTGACGTTTCCAACTTTAAAATTATTACATGCTACTTATACGTTCTGTACATGTGGTACCATGAATTTGCCGAAGGCAACCTTCAGAGCTAAAGAAAATATGCATTATGTGTCTTTGAAGGTTATAAACAGTCTAAAGAAGGGTAAACAGAGTGGTTTGGGATAGGATATGTTGACCGTGTGTATCGACCCAAGTAGCTTATTGTATGTACCTCCTCAAAAAAATATATCCAGTTATGAAAATTGTCTGAAATGCATCTTTTCTTAGATATAAAATACTATCGACTTAAATCAGCGAAAATTAACCTACAATCTGTAGCTAGTATATCTAATTCCGGTTTTTTAACAAAATGGCCGCCACTTCACAAAAGAATCAATCAATATATACGGACGAGTAAGTTCTCTTGCCTGTCGTCTATAGAACAACAAAGTACATGTATGTATCGTATGAATCTTATTTGTCAATGGAGAGAAAACAGTTTAAGAATGAAAAAAAGTTTCTTGCATTTTCTTTAGGTGTAATTTCAATTATAACTCTTTTCGTTTTCTCTATATATCTGCTCACCACAGGGAAATTTTAGGAACTTTGAGATGGATTAAACTGAAGTGAAAGTGCTCATGTGGGACAGATAATAAACTTAGCTTAAGACCAACAAAAAATCTCTTACTAACAATTCTTTTCGTCTTTCTAAATAATAAAGATACAGTACCAAAAAAAAAAGGCTTTGTAATTTTCCTTTAATGAGAAACACATTTCTAACCTTATACATCATAGTACATGTATAATGTGTGTTTCATTAACCACAGTGGTACACGTAGACGGAAAAAAATCAATGCGGAAGGAATCTAACATTAATCAGTACTTTACATGTACATCACTGAAACAATTGAATGCAATATCTCAATCTGAAATATGAAAATATTACTTACATTCCACGAAGGTCACAGCAATTAAAATGAGAAAATTATCCATTTTCGATCAATCATGAATGCAACTGAGTTACAAAATACATAAAATAATTCTATTCATTGATCTCTGTTGCTATGTGATACTGATTCTGTGACGTTTAAAGGTAAACGCATTGATTAATTCTCACAGCGGATTAGGTATGAAAATCGAACATGTATAGAATTGCGTGTCTTAATTGACTCCATCATTTCTCTTATTTAAAATTCTATATATTGTTTCATCAACTGAAGTTGAAAATAAAATTAATTTTTAACACCATCTGTATTTAGCAAATATGTACTATTTAAAATATATATATATATATATATATATATATATATATATATATATATATATATTATTTATTAAAGGAGGATGTTTTTTTTATGGATCGCCAATTATTTTGTGCTTATCATGATACATAGGTATAACTAATTAAATATGAAAAAACCACGGGAATGAATGTTGGAGTGGGAGAGGGGTTCTAAAGTATCTGTGTTTGCTCTCTACAGAAAACCGCAGAAGTAATAACAAATCAGGTTATTCCTTGGTGTAAAAGCTTAGGGATATTATTGCATGAACCCTGTCGTCCACACAGAAAATGTATTTCGTAAAAGAGAGGTGACTAGTTTGCTATTGGACAATGACTACTCTGCTCTAGAACTAAAACTTGCCCTAAAGACAGTATGCCCTTCTCAAATAAGAACAGACTTTAAATTAGCAAAACTCACAACTTATCAAATAAAGTTACAGAAATTCTTGAGTTTGTATTCGTTAAGGGCATATAATATGCCCTTCTCAAAAAAAACAGACTTTAAATTGGCAGAAATGTTCACAAATAAAGAACTTATACAAGAAACTTAGTATACAGAAATTAACTGTGAAATCACAGTTTGTATTCGTTGTTTTAAGGGCATATAATTCAAGAAATGCAAAATATTACATATATTCTCAACAATTTCATGAATTTAAATATGCACCAAGAGTATCATTTGACCCCACGAAAATATGTGATTTTACATGCTTACGATAAAAACTTGTTCGAAAATAAGAAAAGAAGGGAAAGGAGCGTAAAGATAAAGAACATAAAGTAAGTCTGCAAATGATAATTTTTTTAAGAAAAATCAAATGTTTATTGATAGTCAGAAAATGATGCTACGGTTTCCTTTAACATAATTATTCAGTATACATGTATATAATTAGTGAACGCCAAACACAACTGAACTTTCGTTATCACCGGCAAATATAACATACATATCTCGTATGTCATTAGAATTGTCATGCGTTTTGATTCCTGCTATTTGTCCGAGTCCTGGAAGATCTTTGGCTGTCGGTATTGCCCAGCTTAAAACGTCTCCTTCCATTTGAATGACGTAATTTTTATTTTGTGACCTGTTGATTCCTAGCGATTTACATAGATCAGAAAAAGCCACAGACGGCCCATTTACTAAAGTAGCAGTAAAAACTAAATGATCTGCAGCATTCACGTTAGATCTTGTTACCATGATGTCAGATGTTATCATCGCTTTTGATTTCAGAACCTGAGAAATATTAATGCTTTTAATTATATTTCCTGAAAACGGAGAAATTTCGAGGATGATTTCTTTATTGCTGTGAACTGCCCAGACTGAAGAAGGTTCCTGTCTTTCTCTTTCACTTCTCCGTGTGGTGTCCCGCAGTGGACCAAACTTCTCCCATATTCCATCTTTTCTCTTGTCTATTGTATGTTGATCATTATTACCTTCTTCGTACGTTGCCATTGATGATAATGAAAACTCTGTCTTGAACAGAATTTCAGGTATATTAGAAGTCCGGTTGTCCTGAATGGCCCAGAATTTGGTATTTCCGGTTCCGGTCCCGGATGGGGCCGGAAGACTGACATAAACAGTGTCCGTATCCGAGTTCACCATGACACGAGGTGGAACCTTCTCTGTGTCACGTGGTTTCTCTTCTTCCTCTTGATCGAAGAAAACCACGTTTCCTCGATTCATTGTCTTCTTTGGTTCTTCCATTTCAAAGTTGATCACCCAAGATATATGTAGTCTATCAACCATTCTTGGAATCACATCAATTGCATATAGACGGCGCATGCCTAGATTTCCTGGCTCCTGAAAACATTACGACAGAATTATAAAACGATAGACATACAAATCGAAAATCACCCTGAAATGATTGAAAAATATAATTATTTTTACGACCTTGCTTCCTTCGGGAATAAACTGGGTTAGCACATACGCCCGACGACCAGATATTACAGGACTGAAAATCGGATGGAATGTTCCATTGACCCGTTCAAGTTCACCAGGAAAAGGTATATTGGCATGCGCAACACCATCTAAGCGATTGATATAAATGTAGAATTGCATATTCAAAGTATAACTCAATCTATAGCATTAAATTTTGAGTGTATAAAATTCAATATTCATCTTAAAATGGCATACCAGGAAAATAACTGATGAGATATCCGTTCTTAGACACAAACACAAAGATATCGTCTTCCGTTATTGATAAACTAAAAATAAAAAATAGCATAGCTTAAATGTGGTAATTCATAAAGAATACAAGCATTTACTTTAAATTATTTATGAAATGGTTCTTACAAAGTATTCATGTTGCATGCTCGTACCCGAGTGAAATATTTTTTCAAAAAATGTATGATAAAATACTAGTATATATGGAGATAATGAACAGAATTCAAGATTAAATGTCCATAAAACAATACAAAATAGGAGCAGAGCAAACATGGACCTCCAAAACATCAGAGGTGGAATCAGGTGCCGTGGAGGAGTGAGAATCCCCTGCCGACCGGTCACACACGCCGTGTGCTCCTTGTCATGGAAATAACGGAAAAATCCGTCGACAATTCAGTGTGTAAGTAAAGAAACCTGAATATAGGATACACCCAATCACTCATTCTTATAACTGGCTTGAGGGTCCCATCATCCATATACAGCACCAGACTATGTCCATCTGATCCGATGACGTCACCATAAACATCCATCACCGGAAGAACCGGGAATCTTAAAATGCCATCTCTCCACATCAGATTTCCGGTTGCCACATCAAAACTGATGTACCCCCTGTATAGAATTTTACAAAGACCCTAATATACCAACATATTTTGAAAATTGCACATTATTTATTTGGTTTATATATGGTTACAATTTTGTTATCGTAGGTTGGGAAGTTAGAAACTCTGCAAAAAAGTTTCAATTTCAAAAAAATTAAAAAGTTAACTTTTTTAATAAAAATGTTTTTGTTTACAAAGATAAAACTTACACTTCACGAGGTCCATTTGATTGACAGATAATGTTGTTAGCATTTCCAACACAACCAAGAGCGTTTGGTACTGGACCTATGAAAAACTGAGATGTCCAGGCGATTGAAGCATTGATGGGCGGAGTCAAACTAAAGGAAAATGTCCCGGATGGACGACATCCATAACACGGACAGCTGGATACAAAATCCTGAAGTGATGCAGGGATGTTTATTAAAACACCCAAAACTGCAAGGCGTGCTATCAATTCAGTTGCCATTTAAATAGGTTATATATCTACCCTTAAAGATGGTCGTACAATGTATATATTCAGCTGAGCTATCGCGAGATATTGTTATCTTTAATTGTATGTAATAAAGGGCAACTCTATGTGATCATCTATATACTTAGGTATATTTATCTTATAATTATCTATTTTTAAGAAGGATATGGTATAATGTTGTTAAACAATGGACAATGCGTTTAATTTTAGATTTATTTCAAAAATAATAATTACCAGAAGTATTGAAAAATTAATACATAATTTTACATACATATATATATATATGTACTCTGTTATCCCAAATAAATCATAAGGCGGTACAGATATCGCCGTGTTCATTGATAGATAACCACTCCAGTGAGATGACCACGATCACAAGTAGTTAAATAACCAAAGATCATGGCGGTCACTTTAGTCTCTACTATTGTATTTTTCTCCCTCTTTTGTGATGTTTATTCACTTCCGGTTGAGAGCTGCCCAATGTACGGCTGTCGTCCGTCGGGGACTTTTTCGTATGTTCTAAGCGTTACTTCTAACGTATCGTTAGCTTGGCCCAAGAGTTTTGTACAAGGACCGTATGTTAATTCCCTCGGCTGTGCTGCAAACGATGTCAATATTGTATGTCAAGCTAATGGATTACGAGATGAGTATGTACTAACTTTTTCACATTCATTTTTCTGGGATATAAAAACATCCAACATGTATCTGTGTTAATGCGGCTTAATTAAATTAGCAGTTCACATTTGATTTTTTTCAAAAAGTTACTTCTTTTGATTATTTTAGAAAGTATTTTTCACTCATATGGAGACGCCATCACTTGTCGGTGGAGAGTTGCAAATTTTGTTCTATACTCGGCACTCAGGGTCATTGAGCAGGGAAGGATTTTTTTGTGCCAGCACCTACTGTGTTTTATATGGTCTCATCCAAAGGACCGGCCTCCACGTCCCTCATTAAGATTCGAACCCGCGATGTAAGCATCAACTCCTTACTTCGCGACTCTAGAGCAGACGCTCTAACCACTGCCCCACGCGGGCGACCACTTCTTTAGAATGGTTGTGATCTATAAGTATGTGCATTCCAAAAATATAAACGACAATGAGTTCTGAGAATTAGCCATGAATAAGAATTCGTCTATTTTGATGGACATTTATTTTACTTTTGTCTCTGCAGGGGATATGTGACCTTGATTCCAGACAATGGTACAGTAGCCTGGTATGGAGACGTTCTGAGGCGGCCTACATTGCCTATCATGGACATTTATGGTGATGTCATTGGTACAGATGGACATAACCTAGTGATGTTTGACGCAGATGGAAAAATAGAGAAACCGCTGATCAATCTCGGGGAGAGTTTGTTTCCTACTTACAGGTAATTAGAGAAAGGGTTTACGATAAACGTTCTTGATACTTGATATTTTTCACATTTAATCTTTGAATAAATATTATAATCCCTCTCTATAGTCTTACACTTTCCGAAGACAACGGCATCATAGCCATTGTTTCACGACAGGGGCTACTGGTTACCAAGGAATCTAGTAAGTCACTTTTTATCAGATTTTATTATTATTACAAGACATGTCATAATTTTCTTAGTTAGAATTTGAATCAGTGTTTTAAATGTACAGTGGAAACAATACAATTTGTTGGATATCTCAAAATGTTGAGGAAAATAGAGCAAGATTATTTACGTCAAGGTCTTCAGTGTTTGTTGTGAATTTCCACCATATTCCTGTAGGTTTTGTTTCTGTAATTCTTTTCATTGCAAAGTCTATAAACAACAGAAATAGGAATCCAAATATTGTGCAACCCTGCTTATCTCCTGTTGTTATCTGGAACAAGTCATATTTTTCTCCATCTTCTAGAAATGGACAATGGAATGATTCCTGTAGGAATTTCACCATTTTCACCAATTTATCTAGTCAGAAGGATGTCATAGAAATACAAGATAGACTAAAACCCCTCTCTATTAATGAAATCGAATGTCTCCTCATGTTCAAGATAGGTTACAATGTTGAGTTCCATTCGGTACATCGATATAGGATATTACGGAGTGTAATTAGTTGTTCTGTTGTACTCTTCCCTCTTCTGAAGCCAGCTTGTTCCTCACGCAACTCTGTTCCCACTCCATCTTGGATCCTTTGTATCACTATTATGGAGAATACTTTGCTCCAAATAAACAAAAGTGCTATACCTCTATAATTATCACATACTGATCTTACAACTTTTCTGGAATCTTCACAATCAGGCTTTTACTCCAAACCAATGGTATAGTTTCTGGCACCTATTTTTTTATATATATATATATAAATATCTTGCTGTTGCCTTTGTGTCTGCTTTTTAAAACATCTCAGCAGTAATCCCATCAACTAGCTTCTCCAGCTTTTCCTTTAGTTTCTTTATAGCCTTTATAGCCTTCGTGATCTCTTTTCGTACGGGACTTTTATCTCTTGCATCCCTTCCACAGTACTTAGTATCTTGTTGAATGCTTTCCTAGCATAAAAAGAAGCTCGATCTCCGATTTTCCTTCCTTGAAATCCTATTAAGTATCCCTGTTCTCGGATCCAAAGAACCTGCAACTTTTTTAGTCTTATGTCCATGTGTTTTTAATGTTTTAATTTTTTGTTTATCTCTTAAAAAATATTCATTGTTGAGATGCCACCACTTCCTGGTTGAGGGCTGCAATTTTAGACCTTTGCTGTATTCTGTGGCAGCACCTCCTGCGTCACAGCACCTCAGTTTAATAGGTCTTATCCGTAGGGAAGGTCTCCGTGTTACAGAGTGGATTAAACCCTCGACGTAAGGATCAGGTCCTTATTTTGTAACTGAAGAACAAACGCTTTGACGACTGCGGCACGAGAGTCATTAGTCTTTTTAGAGAGTTTACGAATACCAGTTTCCCCTGTGGTGGAGGAATTCAAGGTAGCAAAATGCTGCTTGGTAATGAAATCAAGTGACTCAGCAGATGACAGGTTTTCAGAAGCTGGGATCCAGACAAGGACAAGAAGAGAGTGGTAAGTAAAAACATCAGTGAATCAGGCAAAAAGTATGCTATATACAGCTGATATATACGAGACATCTTGGAAACACAAACACTGAGTGACAGGGCGTGGGATTGTTACACTTCCAGCAGTGATTAAAAGCTTCAGCATCAGAAAAAGGCACCATGGTTCAGGCTGAAGTACGGCGCACTAAGGTAGATCAACGGAAAGCAAAATCAACTTGGAAAACAGGGGGCCTGGATGAAGTGGGACTTACCGGAGCGGTAATTAACCTGGGCAGGACCAGTTTAGGGTCTCTTTTCTGCTGAGATCAGTGTATGATACACTCTTATCTCCTGTAAACTTCCAATAGTGGGGGCTAAGCGAAGACCCTATAGCTAAATGCTGCTTGGAAAGAGAGGGATAATGGTGCTTATTATATCAGGATGCCAAGTTTCGCTGACCCAAGGAAGACACAGTCCTGCGGGAGTTGGCTGGTGTGCTGGAGGCTGAGAGAAGAAGGAAACGACCAGCAGACAAGAAACAGAGACAGATACAGTTTGTGAGACAGGGTGAAGCAAGGGCTGACACAAGAGGGGCAAGGCGGACCTCAGTGTTGGATAGAGGACAAGACTGGGAGCTCATAGTCAATCTAGACAGGAAGTTAGTTTTCCCTAACATCGTGGAAACCAACCTAAGACCAGACGCAGTTTAAGTGTCCTAGCAGTCGAAGACTTTGATTGCAATAGAGCTGACTGTGCAGTGGGAAGAAAATCGTGAGGAGGCACATGAGAGGAAAAGCCTTAAGTATGCAGACCTCTTGGTAGACTGCAGGGATAGAGGCTAGAGTGTCTGGCTGTTTCCAATAGAGGTCGGCTGTAGAAGTTTCCCATCGCAATCAGTGTGGAAGCTGCTCACTTGATTAGGTGTATCAGAAAAAAGCATGCAAGATAGCAGCAAGAAATCTGGGAGAAGTAGTCCTTCTGGATATGGCACCGCCGAGATGATTTGTGCTGGAAGTCGGGATCCATCGAGTAGTGGATTGGCCACCACTGCTGACCCAACTAAAAGATGTCATGGTTTGAGGGCGAAACATCAGGTGAAGGTTGGGGACCATCTGATGACGATCGGAACCGACATTCGAGCACCAGGGGCGGAAGTTACAGATAGCTACAGGCATGCTTAAGAGTGCCAAGCTAACAGAAGAAAACCATCTTCTGTAAGTGAATACTAGAGGCGTAGAGTAAGTTCATTGTAGTCTCTATGTATGTCTTGAGTACTACCTCAGAAATAACGCCTGGTGATGCGGTTTGGTTTTAATTTTCAATTAAGGTCAAGATCTAGTAAATGAAAAGTGCCTACAGATTTATCAAACTTGAGAAATAAACTCCTTTATTGGTGCTTTACAACTTTAGCTTGGTCAAATAAGGTGAAGTTTCGGGCATAATTTGTAGGTAAACAAGATGAAAAACTGTATTTTAAACTGTCATTTTCAATGAAAAAATTAGAAAACCAGTCATGAATATGGGAGTTTTTCTCATATTCGACAAAGGAAATGTATCCAGATTGCCTACAGTCTCTCAGAAAACGGTAATTAGTTTGTTCATGGCCTCTTCTTTAAATCAATATCAAATTTAATATAGGTATCCGGTTTAATTTTCATATGATTTCAAATTGAATGTCATAAAAATACCTATTTTCTACATAATTCTGCTAAAGCCGTAAAGTACGGGAAAAAGAAAGTTGAAATTGATTATGACGTCATAATGGATCTAGCACCAAAAAAGTAGTCTCAAGTTATTTACTAGATCTTGACCTTAAAGGGCTCTCTTTCTGCTGTCTTTGACTGATGGTCTATCGCGTTCTATATATGCAGATATATAGCTTTCTGTTTGGTTCAATGGTTCTTGGGATATATATATATATATATATATATATATATATATATATATATATATATATATATATATATATATATATATATAAATCAAAATTAAATCCAAGATAAACAAACAAGTTTACGTTTAATTTTTACACTAAGCGCTTTCGCCGTTACGGCTCTTCATAGTGTAACAATGATAATAAAAACAATACAACTTCGTTGTTATGACGTCGTTATTATGACGTCACAAAGGCAGCGTTATACATTGGCACAGGTAAATGTCAAAAAAGCGCCAAATGTATAGAGTTAAACACATGTACATTGTAATAAAATGGAACATTTCTTTAGAGCTAAAATGTTCAATTTACATTTAATTTAGGCTGAAATAATTTAACAAAATAATCTTCCTTGGCCCTCCGTAATTGTTCATTATCTTCTGTGATTTTATAAAACGGAAATATCAAAAAGTTTCCATTCGCACATGAATCAAAATGTTCACTGCAAGGTGTATTCCTGACGGAGGGGTCTCGTATTTGTTGTTTATGGACTCTTACACGGTCAGCTAGTTTGTTACCGGTCTGTCCAATATAGTCTTCCCCGCATGAAGTACAAGTCATACAGTATATTAAATTTCTAGTTTTGCATGACATATTCGCATTGACGGTAAACGTTTTACCACATTTAAATGTAAAATTTTCTCCGGTTTTTAAATAAGGGCAGGTTCCACACAGGGGATCCATACATTTGGCTACAGTGCGTTTTTCCTCATCCGATGAGAATCTGGCTCTTGTTAGGAGTTTCTTTAGGTTTGGAGGTTGGCGTCGGCTATAGATGATGCTCTTCGGGTCAATTAATTCCTTTAAATTTTGGGATTGCTGTAAAATAGGAAAACACTGTTTTACGGAGTTATATATATTAAGGTTCCGTGGGTTATGGGTAACGACCAGCGGGATTTCCTTATTGTTTTCCTGGCGTCCTCGTCTAGTAGAACGGAGATCTGCAGTCGGTATTGACTTGGCCTTTTCAATTGCTATATCTATTAAGTCTTTAGGATATTTTTGTCTGAGCAAAAATGTTTTTAATTCTTGTAGACGGCCATTTCTTCTGGTTTCATCTATGACAATGGTACAAACACGTCTGTGCAGATCTCCGTTCTACTAGACGAGGACGCCAGGAAAACAATAAGGAAATCCCGCTGGTCGTTACCCATAACCCACGGAACCTTAATATATATATAACTCCGTAAAACAGTGTTTTCCTATTTTACAGCAATCCCAAAATTTAAAGGAATTAATTGACCCGAAGAGCATCATCTATAGCCGACGCCAACCTCCAAACCTAAAGAAACTCCTAACAAGAGCCAGATTCTCATCGGATGAGGAAAAACGCACTGTTGCCAAATGTATGGATCCCCTGTGTGGAACCTGCCCTTATTTAAAAACCGGAGAAAATTTTACATTTAAATGTGGTAAAACGTTTACCGTCAATGCGAATATGTCATGCAAAACTAGAAATTTAATATACTGTATGACTTGTACTTCATGCGGGGAAGACTATATTGGACAGACCGGTAACAAACTAGCTGACCGTGTAAGAGTCCATAAACAACAAATACGAGACCCCTCCGTCAGGAATACACCTTGCAGTGAACATTTTGATTCATGTGCGAATGGAAACTTTTTGATATTTCCGTTTTATAAAATCACAGAAGATAATGAACAATTACGGAGGGCCAAGGAAGATTATTTTGTTAAATTATTTCAGCCTAAATTAAATGTAAATTGAACATTTTAGCTCTAAAGAAATGTTCCATTTTATTACAATGTACATGTGTTTAACTCTATACATTTGGCGCTTTTTTGACATTTACCTGTGCCAATGTATAACGCTGCCTTTGTGACGTCATAATAACGACATCATAACAACGAAGTTGTATTGTTTTTATTAGTATTGTTTTTATTATCATTGTTACACTCTGAAGAGCCGTAACGGCGAAAGCGCTTAGTGTAAAAATTAAACGTAAACTTGTTTGTTTATCTTGGATTTAATTTTGATTTATAACTTAACCTATACCATGGACTTCTACAACATTTTCCCTATATATATATATATATATATATATATATATATATATATATATATATATATATATATATATATATATATATATATATATATGTCCTGTTTTTAGTAGTTTGAAATGGTTCTATTTTTTAGTTCCTTTTTCTACTCGGAAGATTGGTCGGTTATCCATTTGCAACGAGGGTCTCTCCTTTCCTTGACTTCTTGACAAATTTCTGGTGATCTCCTCCTTAAAGTCTCTCCCTCCTAGTCCATTTCTATCTAAGTACATGTATTTTCTCCAGCCAGCTTATCTGTTCTTTAGTTAACTTTTTATCCATTGCACATGTCAGTTAGCTCTCGTTTAGCTCGATTCTCACTCTTTTATATCCTTTATTCCTGTAGTTCTCTTTAGACGAAAGTCTGTTGGACAACTTACCATTTTAAAATATACAGAAAAAATTTCTCTCCAAATTTTCAAGAAAAAATTATAGTATTTTTAGAAAGATTTGTCCTTGGTCAGACAAATTATAAATACATATATGACAGGCCTACATTTTTTCAATCAAAAAAAATATTACCAAAGTTTAATTTTTTGGAAAGTGTTTAGTCTAATTCATGGCAAAATTTCATACCACATATGAAAATTCAGAAAGGCTTTGCACATAGGTAATGAATTTATGAAATACTAGTACAGAAACGTCATCTTAGCTCATTTAAAAGTTGTGACTAGGGACTGGCAAACTGGCAGACGTATAGATGATATGTTATGTCCCTGCACTTTCGCGAAAGTGGGGAATACATTGAAACGCTGCTTTTACATACGATACAGTTGGAAGATATAAGGCACATTGGCTCAGTTTCTGCTGAGAAAATTTTAAAGCTTTTTATTTTTTTAATGCAGATGGCATACCTCATGCCTCCATGGATTTCCGGGCAGAGGAAGAGAGAACCAACGGAACTTTTATACCAGTAGCGCCACCTGTTGTGTCAGGACATCGTATTTACATCCTTACAGAGTTTCGACCGGATTATAGTCTACATCAGGTTATAGTTACATATATTTGAATCATAAAAATTTAACATAAGAAGAAAACGGTTAGAAACACTGTATCATACTTAAACGTTGATGAGTAAAATTTCAATCATAGTCTTGACTGTTTGTAGGCGGTAATATGTTTAATTTGACTTTGCAATTAAAGCGATCCTTCGAATGACTGAGAAACAATCTTTTATACCTATATATTTTTTTCTTTAAGCCTGATATCCTTGGAATGCAACGTTTGTTTGCTATTGACATGAAAAACGTGATGATGGGTCGTCTAGAAACAGCCTGGGTTTTTAACTTTGAAAGACTGGATAGATTAGGTCCGCTTGTCGGTGAATATCAACAAAACAAGCAGAATGCGCGAAATGAAAATCAGGAGGCTGGATTTGGTGTTGCTCCACAAATATTGAAAAACACGGACACAGATATGATCTACGTAAACTTGCCACCACCAGAGGGTGCAATAGATGCTCTACATCTCCTCTGGGGTTTCAAAGATGTAGCAAATGGTACAGATCCCGATCTTATTTTTAAAATTCCACAGCCATTGTCAAGAATTGCTATGTTCGAATCCAATAGTGGACCAGTTGTTGGAAAAAGGAAAAACAAAAATTTGGGGGGAAAATACAAACCTTTAACGCAAAGAAGAAAAGTAAATAGCGCCTCGTTATGGGGTGTTTCAGTGAATAGAAAACTTATTCTTCAGCTAAACCCAGATGATGGAACTGTGAAAAATCAAATTAGCCTCGATTCTGCGCTAAATATGACGTCATCAGTCGTTACATCTAAGATAATGGTAGCACGTTCTTCTGGCAGTTCGGATGATTTTCTCATATTTGGAGTGCAGGTAACACCTTCTAAAACTGGCGAAGGGGTAAAGGGATTCCGAGAGCTGAAGGGCAGAAAAACGGCCATGGATTCTCCAAAGAATTATGTTGTAAGTTTTAGGGAAAACAAAGTGAACTGGGTGTTTGAGACTCCAAATAACCGAGAGGTGAAGGGACAAATAGCTGGAGTACAGCGCTCCTCCGTGGACGGGTCCGACTTACTGGTCGTGTTTACCAGTGATTCTGAAGAATCCGAAGTGTTTGCTCTAAAGTTTGACAAGACACCGGAAACTCTTAATAAGCCAAAAGTGGAGGAAGACCCTGGAAACCCTTAATAAGCCAAAAGTGGAGGAATAACTTCCAATGATCCACGAAAGAATCATGCGAAGGATATGAAAGCTTAAATGATTTCGAAATCTGTTGATATTTTTTTTGAACGATTTGGTATATTAGAATGTATTTTGATCAATTTTCGTTTTATTAATAAACAACATGAATGCTTAGCAACTACGCGTCTGTACCCGCAATGAAACCTACGGTATCTTACTAACAAGAGTAGAACTGAATACTCAGTATTTATTATTATAGAAAATTTATTGTTAAACTACATATACATGTAATATATACAGTCATTTATTTAATAGAAAAATAACAGAAAAGGAAACAATTTAAAACTAAATTATATTGGAAACGACACTTAATTTGCATATTCCAATTATACGCATCAGGAAGTAAGAACACAAATTCACAATGAATTTCTGGCAAAATGCCTTCGTCTGAGAAAATACAATGTGTATTTATAATTGCTCTTTCTGTTGCTAGTTCCCATTATATTCTTTCTGTTGCTAGTTCCCATTATATTCAGGACAAACTGCAAATTAACAAGTAAATATTTTAACAGTAACGAAGTTTATGATGAAATGTAATATCTAAGAAATACATAGAGAAATTTAAGAGAAAGTTTTACACATACCCTGCTGCTGAAGAACACTAACTTCCGTCACGTCATTTCCTGTCGTTGTGTATGCAAAGGTGTAGAAGCAGTTGTTCTTGTTAAATACTTGGCACATTTTGGAATTTGTTACAGAACGTGGAGCTAAAGATAAAAAAAATAAATCAAAGATTTCTCCTTATTTTAGCTAGTCACATTTAGAGACATGCCATCGTCGCAAACCACGGCCAAAATGTACGATCCTCTCCCATTCTAGGAGAGAGCTATATGTGGACTCCGGACCGTGGCTTGAGACGATGGAGACATGCAGGATACACAATTTCTAATGTTAGAATTCTTTGCGAGCTTATGTTTATTGATTATGTATTTACTTACACAGGAAAGGACTCATGGGTCGAATGTTATATGATGCACAGTTATCACTGCATTCTCTCTCATCCTTGTAGCCACTGAAGTCATTGAAGGAGGTACAGGCGACACACGATTTGAGTTCATTACATTTCCCGCCACAATTCTGAAATTAATGTTTTCGTCAAACAAAGGAACTTTTAGATATTTATTTCGAATACTGAACTGATACAGTACATTGTTTCAAAACTCAAATCGGGTTAATGGGAAATTTAAATATTTTGGATATTTCAAGAAAATTTCAAAAAAAAAATCAGTGATTGGGTTATTTAAATTTTTATATTCTTAATCTCAAAATGCAAAACGTTTCGAAAACTGAAATTTCGAGGTTTGATGTGAATAATGAATATACGAAAAATGGTACTGAACTTTTAAGACGAAACTTTCTGAACAAACGATAATTTTTTGTTTTTTTAATCAGAGTTAAAAATTTGGAATATTTAGGCTAAAATTTAAGATTTTAAAACATGTTTAGAAATTTGGAATTTTAGATTTTAAAATAAAATATTCCATTTCAATTTACATGAACTTAATCTGTGCAGTTTTTGACATAATTAAAAAAAATTGGACTAATGTATAAAAATTCTAAAGCTCTAAATCAATTTAGAAATTTGAATTTAACTGTTTCCCAGGCTGATAATGATAAATTCTTTACCTGGCACTGTTCACAGCTTTGTCCGTAATACCCGGGGTTACACTCACATACTCCGCATTTACACACTCCATTGTTACTGCATATATTCTACAATAAGAAACGGTATTTGATTAATCATAATATATTTCCATTTTAAATCTTTTTTTCTCTCTGTAAACTCTTTGAAAGTTAGCGGAGTTGATTTCTCGATAATTCTACCGAAATGTAAATTAGGCAGGTCGATAGATCATGAGCTGAGGAGGCCTAATATGCATGCAAATCTCGTACGCATCAGTCTCTGTGTCTGACGCTGAGGAGGCCAAATATGCATGTAAATCTCGTGCGGCTGCATTTCTGTTTGGTGTCAGTGGGCGACGACTATACGGAACTTTGCATGAGAGTCCTCATGTAATTTAAATCTATGTCTACATTTTTAAAGTCTAAATCTACAATTTTTATTTCATAATGAAATGGAAATATAAGGAATCAATGTCCAGTTAGTATAGTATGCCAGGGACATCAACGACAGTGGGAAACGTGGGATAATTTTCTGCATAACGGGCTTCGCCCGTAATGCAAATTATCCCATGCATTCGTTCACCTCCATTGTTAACTAGACAGTGATTCCTTAAATAAAAACAAAATGCCTCTTTAACATTCCTATTTAAAAAAAAAAAAAAATTGATAATGAACTTTCTCTTTTCTTGGAGAATTTTTAGGGGATAAAGGTTCCTGGGATTAAGTTGTTATTCAAAAAAGAAGTTTTTTGTAATGCCGGTTAAAACAGTATTTTCATGATTTTTCTTTTAAAAATCACAAGGACGTTCATCTGATTAAATTGAATATCTGTTCTAAATTCCAGATAGTGTATGTTGAATTTTTATTTTAGAGCAACTGATGTTATAACTTTTAATTAAGAATATCTTAGAAACGTATCAGAAGGAAAGGTCCATTATAAATTTCTTTACATGTACGTTGCGTAAACTATATGACTTTAAGAAACTAATACATTGTATTGTTTCTCTCATAATAGAAATAAGGACATAAAACTTACACCGCTTGAATCTGATGCACAAGTTGCGTTTTGAGGGCAAATTTCCGTTGGGCAATCTACAAACAAACATAAAAAATATGAAAATAATAATGGTACGGACCTACACAAACACCTATTAAAGAGGATTTCATTTTACACTTACCTTTCTTCATAGATACTTCAAAGAATCGGTCATGAACGATCTGGAATTTCATTAAACACCCTTGTTCATCTCTATATGTGCATTTGTTAACATCGTCTGAAAAAATAAGCTATAGCATTCAGATTACATAAGCACACTTTGATTAAACATTCTTTAAATTTGATGACGACATTGACGATAATATTGTAAATAAAATACCAGGGAATCCTCGGACTCGTCTGAAGGTCGGAGCAAAACGCCTTCCTCCGCAGAACTGGCGGCACATTGCATTAGGCATGGGAGACCCCGAGAACACAAAGCAGTCCACACATTTACCGTGATCTGGGCATTGGTCCTTACAGTTCTAGAAGATTAAAAAAAGATAGACGCGTTAATTCTATAAAACACACGGCTTTTAATCTAAAGAGGGAGGGGAAGAGGAGGGGGGTTTACCTGGCATTCTATGTCCTCTGCAGGGGATCCCAGCGGGAGTCTATTCAGAGATTCCTCTGGTATGGTGAATCGTGTACCCATTCCGCCACCCGCGGCCCCGATGGGCATTCCACCTCCCACAGGTCTTATAACTGGACTTTCTACCGCCACTGGTACCTCGGTGGTAGTGGGTCTATCAGCGTCTGTACACACACACTTACTGTTGCCTTTGCTACCTTTGGAATCTTTCCATTTGCAGATAGGGGCATTTGTTCTCTGGAATTTTAAATGATCAATTGAAAACTATAATTTAAAAAACAGTATTTGCATTATAAATTGCATTTCTTTGATGAGGTTTAATTAACATACCTTTGTGCTGCATCGACATGGTTCAATCCCAGAGGCAAAGATACGGAGAACTTGTTTTAGTTTGCCGATTTTGACCCTGAGTTTTAACTTCTTTTTCCTGCAACACAAGACGACTTAATGGTCGAGTATTATATTTTTAGGGAAGCCCGTCACCATTTGTACACTTGACAATATTGAGGCATTTAATAATCTAAAAACAACTCACTCTTTTGGTTTCATGTCCTTCAAAAACTTCACCATCACTTTCATATAAAACTGTCAAATAAAACTCTATCTATTTAGAAATGAAATTCAATTTTATAATCCGTTCTACAATGAAGCAATATAATATATATATATTATATATATATAATATAATGAAATTCTGAAATGATGCAGGAACCTGTTTTGTTGTGAGGAGCCGTATCTTTCTAAAATACACATACCTAATTAATGTAAACTGAAAAATAATTTTAAGTTTTTCTTACCTCCTCTCCTCGCTTTAACTTTTTGCATTTTACTTTGTATGGATTTTTCTTCGAAACAAATCTAGAAGATAAAATTACCAAAAGTAAAATTCCATTTTATGGCTTAGTACAAGAACAGATCGGATGTAACAAGGTCCGGATTCCCAGTTACCTTTTGCTGCATTCTACATCTACGGTGATGAGTACTGGGTCGTCATTTCCGGGTCTGGGTAAAAGGACAACAGCGGTAACCTGGGAAGAAGAAATATGATACATGAAATGTAAAGAGAACAAAATGTGAAGCTGGGTGAATTTAGAGAAATGGTCACTAAGCATTTTGCAAGGTTATCGTCTATAAATATAATGAATTAATTTTGTAGGATATAATCATACTTTCTTTTTCCTGGAAACTGTGTCAGGTACCCGCACTGCAATTCTGTGTTCAGCTACACCACCTTCATAAAGTAAAATATGACTACTTTTTTAAAAAATCCGATTTTTTTCATTAACTGGCTGTTTCATGCGTTGTATTAAATATGGTTCTTACCTTTACGACCAGCATACTTGTTGATATCGTTCCCCATAATAACTGAGTCGGAAAACCCCCTACTCTATTGTAGAAAAATATAAAGGAAAATGAAACATTTGTTTATGAGTCTGACTGGTATTATGGGAAAAACACCGTGAAGCTAGAGGATAATTTCAGTTTGACTTACTTTGATGTAGGTTAGCTTTGTGGGCCAGTGGACTAGACTTCCGGGACACTTCCCTCTCTGTTCGAAATTTCTTATGTACATACAGCGAGGACCGGAAGTAAAGTTCTAATGTACAAAAAAAAATCCGAATACAAATGTTTACTAATTACTTGTACACTGTGGAGATCCATGATATTATTGTGATATTTAAAGACAATTGTTGTTTTCCCTCGTAACAGTGTTTCTTAAGTGGCCATTTAACGATACAATGTGTCGTCTTCAACATCTGCAACACTTCGGAAGTGTTCGAGTGGATCACTTCAAGTACACGCGGTCTCTATTCAATCTTGACACAGATGGAAAAAATACTTCTGATAAATGTGTACAAATACTAAAGAATTTAGCTCATCGAAACCCAGTTTGCACCCTTAAGATATATTTATTTTAATTTTTTACGTTATCTTTCAGCTCTATTCTTTGTTCTTTATAATTATTCTTCAAATGAAAAGTTCAATTCTATAAAAGGGAACATGCAAAAATTCAAACTAAATCAGATCTTTATGCTTTTTCTTTCTATTTTATTTCTTTTATTAATATTTTGAATGCAAGAGAAATCACGAATTGTATTATGCCAAAAATGTGTATGAAAATATCTCTCGATAATATTCGAAATGCTGCCCACCCACCAACACACACACACACACACCCTTACACAAACATAAACATCTGCCCTCCCTCAAATGATTAGTTCAGATTATTAGTACAAACAAACATTTATCAAACCAAACTGACCGCGGCTCCGCACCAGATGCATCTCCCAGACTCGCTGTTTCTCATGCATTCTTCACAAGTGTTGCCAAAACAATTTTCTTCTTCTAAAATGTATTGAGGAATTGGAAATAAAGTATCGGCGTCGCCATCTCTTTAAGTTGAAGGCATTATTTACTAGACTACTTATGTACCTTAGTATATATGTACCTACCGGACATCGCCAAACTGAACACCAAGGCCATCGAAAGAAGCCAAAGCACTCTCATCTTTATGTAAGCTGGTTAAAGAAGAAAAAATACTATGAACATGGAAACATCTACTTTTTTCTTTAAAAAAAATCTTTTTCCGGTTTTGTACATCACCATATTTTATATATACATATATATCTAGAGTAGTGTTGAAATTTGAGTGAACACCTTCATTGTGATATTTACTCAGTTAACAATTAATTACAGCAATTATGTTCAAATGACACCTGAAAAAAAAATTACAAGATATCTCACTATAAAATGTTCATCATTCCCAGTCTTATGTTAAGGAAGTGGAATAAAGTTTAATAAAATTAAATGGAATTATAATCATGGTAATATTCCTCATTATCTTAAATGCACATTCAAAAACGAAAGTTTCTTACATCTACCATGCATACATGAAAATACGGTTTTCTTTTTAATAATCATATACGGGTACTAATTCCGTAGTACTGATTAAATTCATAGTCACCTCAAGTTGTCAATTTGAGCTTCATGGAAATAAATTTACTTTTACCA